GCTAGGCCGGGTGCAAAATTATGCAATTTTTCTTTTAAAGTATTTACATTTTTAGTTAACTCCTCACGGATTTCTCTGTAAAAATTGGTTAAATATATTTGATTATTACATAAATTTGGTTAAATATATTTTTATATTTATAATATGCATCAAGATTGATTCATAAAATATTGTTTACTTTTTAAATAAAAAATAAAACTTTTTTAAAAGGAAATATTTTTGTGAAAAAATTTAATTTTTAAACAATTTTTAAGAAGTTCAATACTAAATTTTTTGAAGTTTTTTTCTGATGTGTTCTTATGTGCACTTTGCTATTTATTAATTTATAAATTTATTTTATGTTGACACTATGATTTGACTGTTTGCGATTATTCAATATAAAATAATATATTTATGTAATTATTCAACTAAATTTCAGCTTTCTAGAAGTTTGAATTTCGCGGACTATTCTGAATAATAACAGGTTTGCTCGTTTTGCTCTACAGAAATTTCTACGTTTGAAATAAGACGAATATATACTCGGACTTTAGAAAGAAAGAAAACGGAGTATCTGAGTGTAGAAAGTGCAAATATAGAACGATATATCTATTAACTATTTTATAAATATAAAGAATAATTGATAGAAAATTGCCATATATGTATATAAATTTCATTTCAAAATTTATCACTTTATATTATTTCTTATCTTTTATATCTTATCATAAAGTACACTTTCGCATACTTTAAAATACCATAACCTCATAAAGAAAAAAATAATGATATTACATTGTGTAATGATATTATATAATTTTTCAAACATTTTGTGCATATTCTGTAATAATTTATTATAATCCGCTTTTTTGATCAAATTATAATGATTACTATTCTCTTTGTAAACAATATTTGATATTTTTTCAATATTTCTTTTATGGCATGTTTTTAATGGTGTCAATATTTTATAATTGATTGATCTTCTTTTTAAAATTAATGCATTCAATTTTTTGTTAACAAGAGACTCGAAATAAATGAATGGTACTCACTTTGCCAATTCAGTTCCAGACAATACAACTCCTCTCACGTTCGTAGACATGGTTCTGTTCAAAAATCTAAAAGGATTTCAACTTATATAATTTTGAAGTTGATTTAATTGAGAACGAAATTATGTTTATTAAATTTAGCAAGATTAGATTATATAAATTGATTAACACTACTTTTTTTATGCACTACTTTAAGAAGCACAAATATCGATAAGTTTTCTCACGAACGTAGGCTTATCGTATCAACTGACGTTGATTAAATGACTGTCCTTAGAGTTCCCGACCGGTTTACGAGTGATCATCGACGTTATACAGGGTGTCACAAAAATATGTATTATTTCAGTATCAATACTTGAATGAATTTAATATTAAATTCTTAATAAGAAAAATAATTACCCATCAGTTTACATTCTAATATATATGTAATTTCATTATTATTAAATATTTAATTATATTATTTTTTTAAAAATAATTTACACTTATTAATCAAAATAATAAAAAATTTTTATTCGTTTATATATTTTAAAATTAATTAAGAGATTTTATATTTTATATTTTTATTTTGTTACTTTAATTTTTCATTTCAAGTAAAATTTTTTTAGAAAGAACTATCATTTATATTTTAAGTTATATAAGTGTATCATTATTTTTATTTTAAGTTATGTAAGTGTACCATCATATCTTCGTAGTATCATTATGCACATTATTATTATGATTTGTTATGTCACGTATGTACTACGTTTTTTATATAATATACGATGTAAAGTAGTATAAAATTATCATTATTAATGAGAGATCAATGTTTTCCTTAATATTTCTTAGTTTTTTATAATATTTTTATATATTTATAATATTTTTATGACTAAGTTTTATATATTCAGTTGAGTTTTATATATATATATATATTATATATATAGGTTTTATATATATATATATATATTATATATATATATATATATATAGTTGAGTTATTTATATATATATATATATATATATATATATAAATAACTCAACTGAATATATAAAACTTAGTCATAAAAATATTATAAAAAACTAAGAATATATATATATATATATATATATATATATTTCATTGACTTTTTAAAAATATTTTAATATTTCTAATGTAAATTTTAATGTATTTTCAATTTTTTTAGAAAAAATATCTATAATATAAAAATTATTATATTATTTATAAAATAATTATAATATTAATTAAATTGATAATTTTACTTGAGAGCTTTCGATATCATAAGATAATTTGATATAACAACGTGAGCAACTTGACATAACTATATATTAATCTCGCCTAGTTTTCCTCGACAGATGCAACTTTGTAATAAAGAATCATATTGAGAAATATCATATTTGCTAGCTATAATATCCAGCGCGATAAACTTTGACTCATTTTACAATCAGTCTTATTTGAACTGTGATATATAATGAATGTGATATATTTTACAGATTTTTATAAATATATCGCATATATACATATATACATTTATATATACATTTATCATGTACAAAAAAATTTTGATATTTTTTTTTCAATACTATTAGTAAATGATATAATGCTTGGAAATCTTTATTTACAGAATAGAATACACAGAATTTATTTTGAAATTGGGCTCAAAATATGTTTTCTTTGAAATACAAAAATTGGGTTAGTATAAATGAATAAGAATTGCTTAAAGGCGCATAAGAAAGAAAGGAAAGTAAGCTTTATTAAGGATGTAAATTAAATAAAAAGAGATATAGTTCTTTACAATATGTTTGATAAATATGTTCACTTCAATATATATTGTATATATGTTTTTTAAGAAAAAATCGAAAGTTAATAAAATGATTATATTTCAACATATAGTCGGAATAAAAAATTGACTTAGTTATCAAAGAAAATGTATAATTTTAAACATAAAGAGCTTAAGAGTAAGAAAAATATAAAGAGTAGAAAAATATAAAAGTATTAAAATAAACAAAAGTATAACAATATGAACAATATGAAATAATTAAAAAAATTATTATTTTGATAAAATTTAGATATAGACTACAAATTATTTATATCAAAACACACAAAAATAAAAATTTAAAAATACAAATTTAATTTGTTCAAACGTTTAGATTTATAATATACTTACATATTCTCTATTTATATATAGAGAAATAAGAATAAATATCTTCAAAATTTACTATAGATAAAAAAATGTATGTACAATTCTAGATTCAAGTTAATTCTAGATTCATTAATGCATATATTATATATATTTCAGGATTTAAATTTTTTAAATTTATTATAAATCATATGTATATATATATTTTAAAGATAATTTATATAGGTTTTTCTAACAGAGAATAATACTGATAATAATAATTTATTCATATCTAATAGAATAATAATTTGTATAAATTAATTAAAATAATAATATAATAAATTATATAATAAATTAATTAAATAATTATAAATTTTCTTACAATTAATATCTTTTGCAAACACTGTCAAATTATAATCACATTAATATTAAACATTAATTTTAAACATTAATATAATATTAAACATTAATTTTTAAACATTAATTCAAATGATATGCATTATTTACTTTTACATGAGAAAATTTATAAAGTTAAACTTTCTATCTATAATTGTCTATATAAAAGATAATTATTTGATTAATCACGCGCAATGTGAGAGACGCATTGAAATGCAACATTTCGTTATCTCATCACGTCATAGATGATGCTTAATTAGAATTAATTTATGATAAACATGATAATATTTTTGAGAATGCGTTTCTAATTATGCACATATGCACTTCAACGATGTTATTTAATTTTCATAGATTAGATGAAAATATATTTAGCAATACAAAATGAAGTAATAAATACAAATATTTGTTGCATTTACAATTACTTACTTTGTGTTTATTTTTTTATAAAAAAAATTTTTTATAAAAAAAATAAACACAAAGATTTAATATAATAATTAAGATAAAAAGATAAAAATAATTAATTATTTCTTTTTTATGAATTATAACTGCATTTTATGGGAAGCATTATACACACACACACACACACACATATATATACAGCTAAAACATTGCTAAAAAAATATATATTTAATTGATTGATTACTAATTCAATTTAGCAACTGTACAAAGAGGATTTATTCAGAATTTAATCAGTTTGTACCAGCAGTTAGTTCGAATAACACTGTCTTTTCGGGTCGACGATTGGTGAATCTGTAATATCATTAGATTGCGGTTTCGACCGGAACTATATAGCTTCACCATTAGAGATCAAAACAATAGCTAAAGATTAACCAAGATCCCTTTTTCTCTAGATTGCCTCTTTACTGTAAGATCGCGAATCGGAGAAAGATTTGTGATTCTACACTGTTAGACTGTTAAACTGTGTTAATGTGTTTGGAGATAAATTTCGATTTCGTGAGATTATTTTATTCCTTAATGCGAATTCTTTCTCTTCATTTCTCTTTCTTAATATATAAAAACTTAATGGTGCCTTAATTGTGCGACATTTTTACGACACGATAATTTACGCGATAACATTTTTTATCTTATGTAAATTTCTATATAAAAATTGGATTCATTTTTATTATTTTGAAAGAGTTACTCGATTGATAAATCCATAATTTATTTAATACAATAATTTACTTAGTACTTATTCCGAAGGTTGTTAAAATAAAATTTATCAGATAAAGAAATTAGATTATATATAAGAAAATTAGAAGTTAGATTTCTTTCTAAAAAAGGCATATCGATAATCGAAAGTCTCGAAGTGTATTATTGCCTCTTTCCCGAAGCTGATTGATTTGTGCGCTGCGACTTGCTTCTTATTTTTTATTAATGTGTTTATTATTATATGTATTATGTCTATATCGAATATAAAATTCAATGCGTACAATAATAATTTTTTGAAATATTAATTATTTTGCTGCTATAATTTGGGTTTTTTATTTGTCTATTACAGATCAATTCTGATAGTGTCTGAGAGGAGGAGGAGGCCTAGGAGAGGCATCGGGCGTCGACAGAGCAACCACACGGTGAGCATTGTTATCTGTATATTTGTATACTATAAATTGCATTAATTTAATTCACTTATTTGAATGATTTAAATAAGAGAAATTCAAAGAAAAGAAACGTTCATATCCTATACAAAGAAGCTTATATTTAAAAAGTTATTATAGTAATTATTACAGTAGTTTTTTATAATTTATAATTACTAGACAAAATAAAATATATACATGTATACAACAAAAAATATATACATATAAAATATTATATATTTTTAAAATATCGTATACATATAGTATATGTATTTCAAGTCTTATTTAAATTTGTAATATAATTTTTGTCGATTATTTATACAAAATTTAAATTTCTCCATTAACATATTTCATAGATACATCTTATATCTAAAACTATTATGTATTAAAAAAAAATTATGTTTGAAAATTCTATAATTTCTTTTATTAAATTTTTAAAAAACGAATAAAAATTTTGTTACAATAATTATTCACTTTCCAATATATTAATTACATTAGACGTTACATGTTATATATATATATATATATATATATATATATATATATTACATAGACAATGCTATATATGTATAATTTTAATACGGATCAAGATTGTATTCTATGTTTGCCTACATCGTATCGAGTAAGTGCACATTGTATCGGTGAACATTAAATTATATTTTATCTTAATGATATTCTATTACAAATATATTTACAATATCAATATTTAAAAATTTAAATTTCGAATGACAAAACAATAAAATTGTAACATTTTTCTATTTCATAATATTTACGGGGCGAATATTAAATTATGATAGATAGTGGCATGATTTGCTCTATATATTCTATTTAAAGTACGACATTTTCTATGAAGTATTGTGAATTTATACAATTAACTTCAAAATTCATATATATATATATATATTGTAAAGATACATTATAGATATCTATTTATTATTATATGCATTGAATATATTATATTTTAAATCTTGCTTAAATTTATAATTTAGATTTTTTTTATTTGTATGTTATAGATCAACGTAATCAACTTCGCTGTTATGCATCGATCAGTGAGTAATTAATTTTTATGTTAATGTAAAAAACGCCAAGTATGTATAAATAATATATGGCATCTTAAATTTTTGTTTTTTTAACTTTTATCTATTGCATACAAGTACGGATACTTTTTTATATATTATACTTGGCGTATGCTTTTATTTTATTTTTTTTTTTAGAAAAGTTTTTTATATATTATATGTAGTGTGTATATTATTTATTCTGTGTGTAACTTGAAAAAGTTTAACTCTCAACTTAATCTTTTTTAATTTATCAAATATAGTTTTGCTAAAATTTTTTTATTATTACAGCAAATGCAAATCTATTAAGACGGGATTAAAATTTTTATATGTATATCTCATATCAAATTAATATCTCTTCATTTATATATAGTGTCATTTTTTATATATAGTGATATTAATATTTTTTAATACTAATAGCTAAACTAGTTTTTTGTAAGATCTGTATACAATTTAATATATATCATAGTTTTATTTAACCTTTTTCAAGTTATCCATTATTGTATTAATTAAGAAAGTAGTAAAAAATATTCTCCGAATCTGTTGTTTACCTCGAATGAGATCGGATTGTTGAAAAATATATTTACGCTAGTTTTGATATATCATGATTTATGTACCTTAAATAAAATCAATCATTATTGATATTACTTAAGGTAATATCAATAATGATTGATTTTATTTAAGGTACATAAGCTTATCGCATGACGTTTGTCCAGTGCATCGATCTTGTACTCCTTCGAATCGTTCCAAGTTTAGCCTTACACTTTGCGGGCTTTCCGTTTGTAACTTAAGCTTAATTAAATTCAAATCGAGTGGTTAAATCACACATAGAAATTAGTGGTCTCTGTGAAATTATTGATACTGGCAATCGGCATCGATAATTGCCGTCAGTTTTGCATCGAACATAATCTAGTTGCTCCGCCTTCGATGAAATCCCGCGGGTGTTTATCGTCTTTGCTGGTTGGATGAAAGCTTTCTCTCCCTTTCTCTCTCTCTTTCTCTTTCTCCCCCTATCATTTTCTCGCTCGCACCCTTGTTCTTGCCTTCTTGATGATTTGCCTGCAGCGATCTTGTGCGAATTCAATATCTTACGTGCGAATTTAGCTATTTTTCATAGCATGTATAGGGTACTTTTTAAATTATTTTATTGATTTAATGCGATTCTTGATAATATCTTTTAATATTAATGCTGAAAGACAATTTCAAAATAAAAATAGATAGTTCATATAGTTCCGTTGCAAGTAAACTAACCGGTTTGAAGAAGAAACCAGAATCAAAACCGGAATTACATTAAATTCTTTGTAATATTTATGTTGAAATAGTTTTTTTTATTATGTTTCTATGATTTCCTTCCTTATTAAAAAATCTTTGAATATTTTAAAATAATTTATATGGGATTATTCGATAAAAATTATGAATTATAACAAAGAAAGTAACTTTTTATTTAAAAAGTATTCTAGTCTGAGAAGTATCTTAAGAGACAGAAAATTTATATGCTGTTTATAATGAAGCTATATATATATTATAAAATAATAAATTTTAAATTAAAATATTAAAATATTAATATTTTTATTAAAAAATAAAATATTAATAATTTTAAAATAAATTTTCAAAAATTAGAAAAAAATCAGAAATTTAATGAGATATTTTAAAAAGTAATATAAATTGCCGCATTCTATTTTATATAAATTATTTATATAAAAATTATTTATTTTATTTTTGAAAATTTAAATGATTGATTATTATGACATGCGTAATGTTAAAATGTTACATCAAAATCTTTATTATTGACGAATTTTATTATACGTGCTTTCTCTTATTACGGTCTCTGTCATGGTAATTTGAGCCTCTTGATCATCGAAGTCAGCAGAACTAATACTCTTTACATGTCGTGCGAGATCTTCGGGATGGCTATATCGAGCGATGAAGCTCGGTACGAAAAGGGGCGAGTTTGTAGCTTCGTCGCGGCATAGGTACGTACAGATTCCAACTTCTGCGGATAGTTGGGCTTAAGGGTTCCAGGGAGAAACTAGCCTTGGGGTGACTGGCGGCTACGGATGATCGGGGCTGAAGTAAACCGTCGGGATGGGTGGCGCGAGAGCGAGAGGAACGAGCAGGAGCCCAGGGTGGAAGGTCACTGCAGATCTCGGAGAGAGCGTAGCAACTCGGACCGCAAATTCCTTTACGGTGTTCAGCGTGCGGCGCATTCGCAGTTAGGAGCAAGGAACCGGCTCGTTTTCGCTAATAGGGCGCGTCCAACTTCGCGCGCCGAGCACCCCGCGTCTCGGCGATACTTTGAAGGGCGCGTTGTCCCAATTCTCCGCTACGCTTTCGAGATTTCCGTTTCGGGATTTCTACGTTTACTGCGGCGCCGGACACACAAAGCTCCGTAGGGATCGCTTGCGGAAGCTGCATGCGAGGTGGTTTACCTTGATCGCGAGTTTCGTTCGTCAAATGCGCTTATACTGTCTTTTATATAGATGTTATTCTCAATTTTGGATACTAAGTTGAAAGTATAAAATGACATAATTAATCTTATCGCATTTATTTTAGCTTATGAAATTAACGTTTAAAATTACTTGTAATTTAATACTATGATTTTATATGGATGCGTTATAAATTATGATTTAATTTTAATTACAATTTAGTTTTTAAACTGTTCTATTTAAGTTTAAAAAATTTCAAGAAATATATATTTCTTATTAGCTGTTTGACTGTAAAATATAAATTTAGAATATTGCCAGTTTTATTAGTAATATTAATTTCTGTTAGTAATGCAACGATATTTATTCAGAAAATCATCATTTATTAATCATTTATAAATAAGTTAATTGGATATATTATAACTATATATTGAAAATGTAATAGTGGCGAGAATCTTATTCGATACATTTATCAAATCTTAATACGATCGCGTAATTTAGTCACTCTACAGGTGAAACTCGTAATGTGTTTTCCATCAAGGATCCTTAGTAGGGTGCTAGTGGAAATTAATGACCAGTCGTCACTCCCTCGTATCTAAGCGATATCTCGAGAAGATATATATATATATATATATATATATATATATATATATAAAGAGAGAGACAGAGTATTACCGGATTGGACGCGACCGGCAATAAATAGATGATTGAACGCAGTCCTGGCGTCAGACGGCGGAAGGGATATGAAATTAATACAAGTCCTGCAGGCCTATCCTACAAGGCGTTTATATCTTCACGGAGATATTTCTGGCATCCTTAGGCTCCTCGAGCGGAAGGACCCTTCGACGCGAATATCAAGGAAATTAGAGACGTTAGTAGGCAAGCCCGAATTATCGACGCTTCGTCGAACAGTCGTACGGTTTGGTCATTGGTAATTGCTATGCGTTCTGATGACCGTTATACTATCTATCTGTGGCTTCTGTGATTTTACAGAGTAAAAACCGCATATGTTGCGTATTTGCAATCTTTAAACCTTGCGTATATTATGTAACAAAGACAGTCGCGGAAAAGACATTTTCTTATGATCTTGCTATAAGATATAATGATGAATTATTATTGTGAAAAAATTATGATTATTATGAGACAAATTAATCAAATCACAAATTGTGACATATTGTGCAGGACGCATAATTTGGCAATTTACACTTTGTTTACGTCTGGCTCATGACTCTTCTTATTTTTCGGCGTAGCAAAATCTATGGTAAAAGTCTGAAGGTTCAACGAGATTGTAAACGCATCTGGCATACGCAGTCTAAGCTGCCGAAAGTTTATATGGGATAACTTTGCGAGAGGCTCGCGAAATGGGATTGACATTATCGCTGTGAGTTTGGCCACTCATGCTGATTGGATGCGGAAAATCGATAGCTACGTAATAGGTTTGCTCCGAAATCGAAAGTGCGCTTTCACATATTACACGAATGAACAATCGGTATAAAACATGTTCGATTTGAAAAGTTTTGTATGTTAGCAAATATTAATTAAATTATATTACCAATCGCAGAATATAAATATAATATATCAATCGCAAATATATCGCTTGATATTATTAAATATTATTTTAACAAGAAAAATACAAGCTGGATTTATATTTACAATTCTCTCAATAGTGATTAAGAACTATTCGCAATAACATGCAATTATAAAAATTATAATTTTTTTTTCTATTATATTACAAAATTACTTATTCTATACTTTTTAAGTTCGATTTAATTTTATTTCAAATAATGTTTCATGTCCGCGAAACGAGCAACATATCATGTAATAGAATTACCGTAACATGAATAACGTAAATAAGTGATATTAAAGAAACTTGCGTCTTCTATGTTAGTAACGTAGTATGAGCACCGATTGATCGTTACGATGGTCGAGAGTGGTTCGGTCAATAGTTGAGAATTTCGAGGGTATCCTAACTGTGTTCTCAGAGCAGGGGCAAGAAAGATAACTTTGTAGAGAGAGGGTAAGACATGGCTTGCTGGGGGTTGATTGGGCGACCCCTCGCTACTTCTGGCCCGGCAACGTCGCCCTCCATCTCGCTTTCTCTTCTCTATGATGAAAGCGATTTTACCCCTCCCGTAAGCCTTCTAGAAAAATATGGCCGACCAAACACAATTTGAAGGGGTCCGAACATTTCGATCTAACGGTCGAGCGACAAATAATGCAATATGGACCACCTTAGGCGACATTCTAAACGTTTCTTAGAAAATGATTGTAATATAATATGATATCTTTGTAAATTAATTAATCTCATTTTGATGAAAGATATCAAGACATTATTTTAAAAAACTGCTTGATGATAATATTAATATTGTTATTAAAGTAAAATATTTTAATAATAATATGTATTAAGTTTATAAAACGTATTGAGGAAAAGTAAAAAAATTAAAGAAATGAAATTCTATTCTATATATAGAAAAATAAATGAATAATAATGGTATGACTAATTTTCTGTATGATTCGATCGTTATCAAATTATATAGCATAGAAAAGTCTTTGTTAGACTCTGATTCGAGC